TAGCCCTGGGCCAGCAGCTCCCGGCTCCCGGGGACAGGGCTCCCTGGCTGCCAGGCACCGCGGGCACAGTCGCAGCCTGGCTCTCACCTTGGCAGCTCATTTCAAGTACAGATGAATCACTGCTTTGCAACATCTCCAAAGAGGCCCACGTCTGGCTGCACTCACCCTCTGAAACTTGCACAGACCAGGAAACGTTCTTAGCAGAATGATCAAAAGATACGATGCTTTAATTTCACTGCCTTTAACATAAACATCCAGTATTTGACTGCTTACTCAGGAGTAAACAGACTAAAAGCAAACACAACTTGTTAAGAATGACAAGTTTTTCCTCTGTCTTTAACGCTTGCAGTCTCATTTTGTCCACAACTCATTCTTCATCATCATCATTTAAATAAACCTCAATGATTTATTATACCACGACGTGGTAGCACAGAGACACGCGTGTCCGAAACGGCCCCCCGTGGATGGGCAGCCCAACAGGTCGTGCCGCCATCCTACAGCAGACAGGGGGTTCTACTGACATGGAAACAGGTTGTCTTACACTAAACAGCTTATTTATATCACAGAAGGTACATTTTTGTACAGTGCTTCACACCTTTTGAAAACACAGTCTCGTGCTCGGGCCTTGGAGCCCTCCTCCTGGCTTGGGAGAGCGGAGTCAGAGCCTCTGCTAACCTGGGGCAGAAAGCTGAGCAGTTGTCTTTTTTTCAGGACTGGAATTTTAATATTCATTTCTTCTCTACGACAGTCTTTTTTCCTAGCAGCTCCCTTCAGCTAGGTGAACGACGGTTTGGTTGAGTTTTTGGGTTGTTTTTTTTTTCCCACAGGGAAAGACTGAAAAGAACAGTTTAAAAAGAGAGATGGCTAGGTGTGTTTTTTTGTTTTTTTTTTTTTTGTTTTTTTTTTTTTCTTTTAATGTACAATCTCAGTTAACAGGTTTTGTTACTTTAGCTTTCAAAGTTCAAAAATATAAACTCTCTAAAGTGCATAATTGTACTTACATTTCATATAAACTATCTGAAATTCTAGCAATATACCATGTAAACAGCGGTAACTAAGCATCACAAAATGCTACAATCTCATCAGTTTAAAAATAAAATGGACTGTTCCCAACAGATCAGTTATCAGGATTTGTCAGGGGCAAAACCCAGCAAAAACAGATAATTTATCCGTACACAGTGCAAACAGGCTTTTAAAAATAAGCAGAGAAAACATACTCCTGGGAGGCCTTGGTCCACATGACAATGAAGAAAGGGCAGAAACTGCTTCTCCTGTCCACACGAGGACGCCCAGACTCAGCAAAGTGCCCAAGCTGGAGCCCAGTGTGATTCGGCAGAACCCCACCCGCCCAGCCTGAAGGTGTGTGCTCACCACCCACGTTGCTGCTGTGCTGAACTGGGCCCCAGCAACACCAGACTGAGCCCCTGCCACGGACCTTTCTGCAGCCCAGTATTGTTTCTCATTCCATACTTCTACCTGTAGGGTGACGCCGCAGCCAGTTTGGCTCAGCTGCTGGATCTAAGGTAACTAGGGAGAGCTGAGTGTGGACTCGGAGGAAAAGCCCTAAGGGCCGGCTGAAGGACAAAGGCACAGCTCTGTTTTCCTTGGCTTTACCCTGGTCAGGCTTCCCTTCCAGTGAAACATCTTCAAAAGCAGGTTTTGAGCCCGTTTGTCAGCCCAGTTAACACACGGAAAGGATCAGTTTTGTGGAGTCAGAGCCCAGCACCTCTCCAGTGACAGAAACTCAGCATCTCCAAAAAGCCGAGCCCCAGGTCAGCTCCCAAGTCCTCGGGACTCTTTGGGAATAGGAAACTCAGTCTTCACTGACTTTATATAGAATGGGCAATTCTGCAATGAGTATAAAAGCCCCATGGCCTGGGAGGCACCCTCCTAATTGCTTTTACTCACAGACACCACTGCTTTACCCATCCAGATGAGTAACTGGCATGGGCAAAGCCACGGGGAGAAGGTTGCCTTTTGGTGTGTTCATGGGAACCTGAAGAGGCCAGAACACCCTCAGCATCACTTTTGGCAAGAATTAACACACACAGCAAGTGGAAGAGGGTAAGTCTAAGCACCACAACCCAACTGTATCTATTTGTGAGCCCACTCGCCCGTAGGAAGAAGGGGAGAAGGTGTTCTGGGGGTCCTCTTGCCTCCTCCAGCGTGACCTGTGTGAGGCCTGGCTACGACAAACTGACGTTTGATCTCAGCCATTTGGCTTCTGCACATCAGCTCCCCAGAGGATCAACACAAGAGAAAGCACTACAGAAAAGTTCTCCCTGGGACACCTGGCCCGGGGCAGAGTGAGTTCCTCTGTCGCCACCATTGCGGTGTCGTTGCTGCAGCCCGCATAGTCTGAGTGATGGTGGACATAAAAGAACAAAATTTAGGCTAGCAAGGATGTGTGACAACCGTAAGGATTGCTCAGCTTGGACTCCTGTGTCTCCATCAGATGATGAAGCACAGGTACTAACCAGCTGGGTCTTCCAGGTGTCCTCCAGATACTTGACACCAGGCATTTAACCAACCAGCTGCCAAAATTCCACGGGATTCTGACTTAAAGCTTTTAAAACCTCCTTTCCTGTATCACCATAATGTAACAGTATCACCTTCCAAGCAGAACAAGCAGGCAAGAACCTTGCTGCACGGCTCATTTTCTTTGCTATCCCAAACAGATCCAAGTACTTTCTTCTACTGCAGTCAAATTGGCCACCAAAAATCAGGAAGAAAACCCAACTCAAGCCTAGGAAAAACTGTAATTCCCACCAGCTCTGGGTGAGGACTGGGAGATCCTTACAGCAATTATCTAGAGCAACAGAAGAAGTTGGTCACCCAAGAATCAGAGCAAATCTTCACTGTACCTATAAAAGAACAGTCTTGGCACTATCTGACCTGCACCTTCACATGAGATCAGCCAGGGCACTTGTCTGCTAAACAAAAGTAGAAATTATTTGATGATTTAATTACTATTCATCCTACTTTGCCTCTTGCTATGATACCCTGGGAAAAAAAAAAAATAGGCTTTGACATTCTAAATATTACAGGATCTGTAAGCAAATCAAAACAGAAGGTTCCCTCCAGTGAAGTCAGTCGTGTCTCCTACACTGGCAAACTCCATTTTGGGCATCAGGCCTGGAGAAAAAATAGGCAACAGCAAGTGTAGAGAGTGGTGTAAAGCCACTGTTCCTCCCCCTCCTGCCTCTTGGAATGGCCCTTCAGTTCCCAGGGAGCTCCTCAGCCCTCCCCAGCCAGGCTCCAACTGCATCCACTTCAGGCATTTGTCCATTTGGTGCTCTCTCCTCGTTTACTGGCAAAAACAATCTCTTCCTTTACATGATCTTGGAGTTAATATCTCTTTTACTGATGAGGACCTCCAGCAGCCTCAACTTGGCCTTAACCTGCTTGTATTCATTGTATTCTTCAGCCATAGGAGTGCGGTCTTCCTTCTGCACATTCCTAGTGGGAGTGAAAGCAGATCATGGAGATTTCTGCAATACCATGTCCTCCCTCCATCCCCCCAGACATCTGACAAAGCAGCTCCTCTTCTCCACTCCCCACCAGGGAACAAACCCAAAACTTTTATCCTTTGAGTAGAAAGGGAAAAACAAAACAACAACAAAACAACCCCAAAACAAGAGGAGCAAAGAAACCTCTCCAACAAAGTGCTGGATGCTTGCATATTGATGCTGAACACAATCACATGGTTCTAAATGCAAAACCTTACTTGAGGCATGCATGCCCTGCTTCTCTGAAGTTGCCAGCCTCTACACAATAGCTGAAAAACATTTTGGGAGCCATCTGAATGTCAGCCTGCTAGTCCAGCACAGTGAAATACAGCCTCTCCTGGCTTGGCACCACATCACTTACATGAACAGGCACATTTGTGAGAAGGGAGATGGTAACTGATCAGACTTCTCTTAGCTTACACAAAACTTTTAAGTGATTTAAATGACTCTGAGGGATGGTGGCAAGAAACTAACAAGATAGCTTAAGATTATAAATATATTAAAACATTCTATCAGTTCACTAGTGGGGAATATTTTCAGAAAACAATAAACCCAGCTACACTAAAGCAGAAATAGTTGTTAAACAAGTGTCTGAATACCTCACAGACAAGCACAAATAGGACAGAAATCTAAACATACATCATTAGGAAAACCCCCAATTATTCTATCCCTGAGAAACTCTTCCACCATTCCTGTCAGCTGGTTTTTCACAGTCTGCACTTTGGATTTCTGCTGCTTGTCATAAGACCCAGTTTTCATAGAGGCTCTGGTCCTTGAACTTCTTGGGGGGTGTGTGTGTGTAAGTGATTTATTTCGATGGGTAACTGTAACAAATGTGGGTAAAATGCTCCTGCTAAAGAAATATTTAATAGTGAATTCAGCTTTCTGTATTTGGAGGTTTTCATAGATGCCAAACAGATTAAAAGTAGCTGAAGGACTGAGAGGCGGCTGAGAAATTATTACCTTCCATTTTGTCGGAAAAAATTATCTTCAAAGTCTCTCAATTTTTTTCGGATTCTCTTTTTCTCTTCCCTGACTTCTTGGAGCTGCTCTAAGAGTTCAGGGCTGTTGGGTTTAAATATAAAGAAGATTTCACATATGGAGACAGTTTTAACAGGGAACACACAGTAAATCTACTCAGGTACGTATGCCGAGCAACGAAGCTGATCCTGCAAGCAGCTCTAGCAACCCGACTGCACTCACAACAAAAACCTCTCTGAATTTGGTTCAGCAAAACGATCCTGCACTTCAGCTGAAGCCTCTGAGGAGGTCAAGTGTGCATTTCACAATTCACCACTAACTTCTGTGAAACTTACTTGCTGAAGATGGGCCTGGTTTGGGTTACAGGATCAAGATGCACTGGTCATGAATTATGTCTATGACCTATGTGCGTTTTCATCAGACCTAGGTGCTTAAAACTAACAAGGCTAGTTCAACCTGACCTCTCTAAAAGCTGAAAAACCTTGTAGAGTACAGGGTTGCCTTCATGATAAAGGCCTGTCATTGGTCAAGTGGAGATACTCTTTAGTGCTAGAATCCAAAGATGCAGAAGTCAAATATCATTATCAGGACAGGACATATTCTTCCTAAACCCTTCATATGAGCATTTGAAAATAAAGGGCAAAACCTTTGGATTCAGCCCATAAATGAAAAAAAAAATAAATCTAGCCACTTTTCTGACAAATAAAATGCTATTTTACCAAGAAATAACTTTTGAAGTTGCCTATGATTGAACATACATGGATGCTTCATGGAGATTCGAAAGCCCCATATCTTGATTGCTCCTAGATGGCATCTTATCGTCCACTGGGGAAACAAAGCCATCAGCATCATCTTCTAGTTGATCCAAAAAGCTGCGCACGTTGAAATCTGTTTTCATGGTAATTGTCAAATCTGGCTTCACACTGCTGTCCTCCTCAGACCCCTCCTCTTCCTCCTACAGAGAGGGACAGAGCACCCCCAAAACACAATAGGTTACTACTTCCCTTTTCTTCAGAAGCAGGTTCCTGCTTTCACCACATGCACTGGGGAACAGGTATGAAAAGTGGATAGGCAGAGCAAGCACTTTAATTCCTAAGCCATACAGGACACCAGAAGACCACCAGTAAGACACACTATATCCAAAGCATGTCAGAGAAACTGTGACCACCAGCTCAGATTGGTTAAGGAGCCCCAGGGCAACAAAACGGAAGGAAAAAATACCTGGGGAATTATGAGCAACCTGCTGCTTTGTTTAATTTCTGTATTCTGATGTAAATAAACACTTACAGACATTATGCATACTGACTAAAGTATACCAGCCACCCTTTCCCTACAACTTCACCTGGCAGCCTACAGATAGCAATCTGTAAGTGATTAATTAGAAGATTATCTAGGTTAAAATGTGAAATATTCTCTCAATAGATGCAGCTCAACAGCTCACTCTAATGGCTGAATTCGAGACCTCAAATCCTTGTACAGTGATTATCACTGAGCTTAGATTGGTCTTCCAGTGGCCTGAACGTGGGATGTGACTGACTATAAAAGGACTGCTGTTGCTAACACATTCCTGACACTGGCTCTGTACCATTTAGCTGGAACACAATTAAAACTGGAGTGGTGGAAACAAATTGCAATTTCCACAAAGTACACTGATGTGTTCCAATTTTTTTCAAAATTTATAGGCACAAAATTTGAAAGCCTGCTGCAGTTGGTACTTGCTAATCCAGAGCGTTCACAAATGTGAGGCTCGTCCTGTGACACTGTCCAGAAATCATCTGGATTATCAGGGAACTGGGCTCAATTTTCTGTTACTTACAGAGATATTTCTAGAAGGCAGTTTTCAACCTTAATATTAAGGAATGAGGCAGGAGCATTAGAAGAAGGCAATAAATGCCAGCATGGACAGTGAGTCTCTTAAATACGTATGTGTGTATATATATATTTATTTAACAACCAATGTGACTCTGTCCAGGAAGGACTTGAGCTCATGCATATCTTTAAAAGTTCTGAAGGCTAGTATCACTGAAACCTTCAAGTGTATGCAAAAATATATTGTTGCACTGTGATCAAAAGAAGCCATTTTCTTGACTTTTCTTTTTCCCATGCGATTAATTTTGAATAGTTCAATCGTTCCTAAAAGATTGCTCCTGTATTTCAAGCAAAAAGGGAAAAAGTAACACTAAGACCTGGCATAGTGCCATTAAATTCTCAAAGCCAACGATTTATAAACACATGTATCTACATGAAATCAGAATTTGCCCAGAGTTTTCTTCTAATGTTAAAGCTCTAAGCCGTGAAAATGCAATTCGAAGCCACAGGCTGAAAATTACAACCAAGTTGGAGGCTTGAGGATGAAAAAAAGATTATCTGGGGAGAAGTTTTGAGCAATAATAACAATAAAAAAGATACAGAGAGGTCTGAATACATCTCATAAAAATCTGCAGAGAACTTGTGAACCTTAAAGAATAATATTTAGCATATGATTAGATAAGAGCATTTCTCCAGGCGTAAATTGTATAGTTTAAACAGAAGACATAAACCAGCAGTCATGTACTGTCCTCAACCCCTGCAAACAATTTCAGGCTGGGCTGGGGAAACCATCACTTTCTGCCATTTACCAGCCCCTGAGCACATTGTTCTGCCCTGCTGGGTAAGGTCAGCTGGGACAGATGCAGGAGAATGCTGATCCCTCTGTGGCACGGAGGCGCATTTGCTAAGTCAATCTAGGCAGTAAAAACAGTATACTTTGTTTTAGGGGAACCTGCCTGGCCCCAAAAGAGGACCTTTTGTGCATTTTCCTGGGAGAGCAAGTTGCTTCTGGATTCCCCTTCTGGAGAAAACGGAAAGGGACCATTTTCACCAGCAGTGTGGCACACTGCTCCTGAGGAGAGCTGCAGGGTGTCTTTTCCCACAGACCTTCCGCGCTCCAGGGCGCCAGAGCCAGCAAGGGCTCCTCGGGCACAGATCTCAGGAGCAAGCCTCCTGCCAATGGGAGCCCATGGGAGGAAAAGAAAGAGTAGGAATTTCACTTGTTTAGACCTCAGTGCCAAAACACTACATCTAGCTGTCAAATGACCTCTTAAAGCATTTGGCTGTTTAAAACAAAAAGTGAACTAAAGAGATTCTTAGTGATAACTTGAACTGAAATGGCCATCTAAGACCTTTCCTTTAAACAGGTCTCACATGGGAATCTTATTTTACACCTCTAACTAGAATGATCTTCACTGACTAGATCCATTTGGCTTGCACCAGCGAGCAAGCTTCTCAATGACTTTTTCAACACATAGAATATTCAAGATATTGTACCCAAATGCTTGTTAAGGCTTTGCCTCAAAACATCTTCCAAGCTTTTAGCCAAATCTCCCAAATGTTTAAAAAAAATCCACGCCAAATACCCCCAACCTGACAAGCTCTGGGGCCTTTTGGCAATTTCCTCTCTTTAGTTCTGAGTGTAGTTCAGTGCAAAACTGCCCCATGCAACTTCCCCATTTAAGTGTTAACAGGGATGCCAGTGTTAATGGGCTTCAGGCTGTCACCCTGCTTCCTTCAGTCAGAAACCCCTCAAGGTTTGTATTCCCTACAGGACACTGCTGAGCTGCTGCCTTGATGTAGCACCAGCCACGCTGGTCATCAGAGCTCACCAGAATTGACAGCTGTTAAGTTTTGACTCTGGGTGCAAGCATAGGTGAAAAATAGAGAACACAGGAAAAAGAAAAAAAGAAACCACAAACCCTATAACCAACCCAAAATCCCCCCCACCAGACCACCATTGCACATTTGATCCAGCAGTGACCTAAGAAATACTGAGAGCTCAGCGATGATTAACCAGCCTCCAAACAGCAGCTTAACACCTTCAGTGTGCAATCTGGTTTTAATGAATATGTGCCTTGAATAATCCATTAATATACAACCTAATTTAATTGCCTAATAATCAAAACAGCCTGGCTGTCTAGGTCTGCATTATTTACACTGTTAGCCAAACCCTAGCTGGATAAGGGACAGCTGACCCAAGTGTGCTAAGCACCTTTTTGCTGTTACACTGCCAGAGTAACAAAAGCAAGTGAGGGTCCAGCTCCACGCTTCGTGTCCTGGTCAGCTGCTGGACTTCTCTTCCTCTCAGAAGAAGAAGGCCCAACATCATAGCAATCTTCACCACCAAGAATTCCTACCCCACAGCAGCACAAGGAAGAAACACAACCATCAATCTGACCAAGCAGTACCTAGCAGACCCAAGTTGTTCTTACTTCCATTCTCATGTGACTTGTTCAGAGATACCCTTCACAAGGAGATGACAAAGAGCCCTGGATAAAATAAGCACGTGAATGGGAGTAGGCATGGATCCCGTGAGTGCCCCAGCTGGCTCCACAGGTGAGTGTTAGTTTTGTGAGAGCTCATTCCTGCCACGGTGCTGTGTGCAAGCCACAGAGCTTTGGAGTGAGAGAAACCACCACAAAACAAGTTAGTGTCATTAAAAAGAAAGGAGGAAAGCAAGAAGAAAGCAACGTACAAAGGCAGTTGTGATTCTTTCTTTCTTTTTTTTTTTTTTGAAGCAAAATAAAATACAATATGTGCAGGTGGAAGGAGAAGGATGGGGAAGAATGCAAAGCCAAGGAAATACTGTAGTCTTATCTACAACAAGGGAAGAATTTGATCAGAACTGGCGAGGCTTAAAGCAGCTACTGATTTTTCAGGAGGACACTGCAAAAAAATCAACACTGATAAAAAAAAAAATATCAATCAATCATTCTCTTTCATTGGTATAAGGAGAAAATTGATGCAAACTGAGCAATTAGTTAGCAGCTGGAGGTCTTCACCTTTATCTCCTTGAAGAAGGAAGCTGTTTCGCCCTCGATAATTGGCTGCAGCAAAGGGCTTCTCCGCTTGCTGGAGGGGGAACCCTGTGACAGGTGTTAACAAGTAGGTTACATTATGAATCCCTTTCTCCTCCACCACCTGCTCTCAGCTCATTCTCACCCACACACTCACTCTCAGCCATCGCTGGACCACCAAGAGAAATCTATTTCTTAAAGAAGAAAAACATGCCTGGCAACCCCCCTGAACCTTGGACTGTTTTCTCTCAGGATGGTGCTTAGCAAGGGGCATCACTGCCAAATGCTTTTATGAAAAAAAAAAAAAGCTTGGATGCTGGAATACCAGCTGGGCAGGAACAACAGAGTAAAGGCTGCAAGAAAATAATCTGCAGCCTGAGGCCCAATACACACATCACACAACATTTGGCTGGCTCTCCAGAGCTACAGCATAAGCCCAGTTAGACTCTCCAGGCTTGCTGTCCAGGAGCCTGATTCCCCACTGAAGTGGCTAATGATGTAGAGACGGATGACAGATTTTCAAATGTTTCCTGCCTCTGCACGAGCCTCTCACTGCTCTCACTCAGGAGGCTGGGGAAAGCCAGTCTCGTCTCTCTGCTAGCCACTGTGCAGCTTCAGTTTTGTCTCTACACAGGCCCTGAGCTATCTTTTAAGAGGTGTGTTAAACTGCCCATGCACAGCTACATGTTTCTTCCTTCTTGATTGCCAGCGGTCGTCTCCACAGCACACATTTTAGGGAGTACTTTGCATATTCAAGGAGGAACAGCTTTTTGTTTTGTTTAAAATGCAAGACCACCTCCCACTATTTGCAGAATAAAAGCCCCACTTCTCAGTGTGACTGTGCTGAGCAATGCTGTGCCAGTCCATTCACTTCACTGGTGGTCTATGAAAAGCAGCCAGGACATGAGAGCTGCTTGGGAACAGCAAAAAAAGTAAAGGATCGTATATGACACAGTAAATAGGAACCATGATAAAAAAAAAAAAACTCTTAAAAATTCTCATTAAAAAAACAATTCTCTTTCCACAGACAGGCTATAAGTATTCTGTGTGTGTTTTTTAGCTCAAATAATTTTTAACAAGTGGCCTACACAAGCTGTCTGAAATTAGAGGTAAGTGCATTTGCTCTCTAGAGGGGTGTCTTGAATTCCTTGCTGGTGGGAGTGTCTCCTTGCCAAAGCAGCACCTCAAATGAGGGAATATCCACCACTTGCAGGATCTCATAAATACAAATGAAGTGTTAGGAGATCGTTGTCCCTTTCAGCCAAGGAGACTGGTATCTCCTGTGAGACCAAACAACTCTGTGTTCCCAGCATACAATCCTGTGTAACCAAGTAGCATGAAGACCTACAGCTCAGACTGGTGAAGAAAGGGAAGTAAGGCTGTAGCCAAACACAAGATGATGAAATAGCAGCAGCCCAATGGAAAAAGGAGAAACAACACAAGGTGAGATGTGCCTTGTAGCTCATGGGTGGACACCAGAGTCCCTTGTCCAGCTTTGCCTGGGTTCAGTATATGGTGTGACCACCGATTCACTCAATCGCTTGGTCTCTGAGTTGTAAGTGAGGTTGAGACTTGGCCTTAGGGATTGTGTTGTATGCAAAAGTGTGGTGACTCCCATTTCCTCAACTCCAAATCAAAGAAATAGCCCCCCAAAAGAATGCTCTACTCACAATGATAGGGATGGTGTTGGCTCTGGAGAGGATCTGCTTGACCAAGCGATACCTGTCATACAATGGCTTCATCACCTGTCGTTCATTTTTGGTAACCTGGAAAAGAAAAAGAAGGGAGATCCATGAAGCCTGCAGGAGATACTTCACTCTGTAACACGTGTGCCTGTGATTGCTGTTAGTCAGTGCCTGGAGGGAATCTCACGAGGATACCAGGTTAGCAGCATTAGCTCTGAAACTGGTAGTGCAAGTGCTCATGCACATCATTGCATCTCCTGCCCCAGGTGCCAGATGAAGCAGCACCCAGGCTCTGGGATGCCTTGTAATGTGGTTGTATGAGACAGGAGGTTTAAATGCCCAGTGCAGGTATCCTGTGTCCACAGCACAAACTGACTCACAGCGGGCTGTGCCTGGAACCACGTCTACCATTATAAGGCACAAGATGGTTTCCCACCCTTATTCTCATGCCTCAGGGGCAGTGTTTATGACCCACAAAAATAGAAAGGAGCTGCAATGACTGGATACTGTAGGGAGAGACTTTCCCAGGGAAGGTTAAAGTACAGACATTTCACAAGGGCTAACTTTCTGCCTTTGCTGTTCCTCCCAATTTCCTGTCCAAGCCAGCAGTTCTTAATTGTCTAACCCCCTAACCTTGCTTTCCACCCCTTGTCCCACCAACCCTGCTGGGCAGAGAAGGGATGAGGGTGCTGTGCGGCATAGAGAAGCCAGAATAACACCATGATGCCCATCCCAAGCCTTTCTTACGTTGCTCTGTCCCTAACTGCACTCCTCCCAGCTGCATGTCACGCTCCCTTCTCAGTCTGAGTGTGTGACAAACCCTGAGCATTCATTTCTGTTTTTCTTTTGGATCCACCTTAAGCCAAGAATCTCAGTAGCACTGAGAGTGCAGGAAAAGGGAAGACCTAACAGACGGTATCTAGTGTGGGAAAGCAAAGGTCTGTCCAAGTACTAGTAGTGAGGAAGCTGGGTTTTATTTCTCCAATGTTATGCTACAGCAGGGTTCAAAAATACAGAAGATACTCAGCAGAACCAGCCCGATCATCATCTTCCTTTGTATTCAGCACTGTCTGACCCACAACCTATGACTGTCCTTCCATTAGATCTTTTGTCTAACTATAAAGCTCTTGTGAGGGGAAGCTTTAACTGATTCTTATGCCATGCCTACCTTCCTCAAGGCTTTTTACTGCTGCTAATCACCAGAGCATCTGAACAGCTGCCATATAAAAATCAGCATCAACAGTGTAACCCCTAGGGAGCTTTCTACAGTCTCCCTTTCTACAACAGAAACACAGCTTGAGACAGGGAGTAAATCTTAAAATTAATTGTCTTTTATTTTGTCTGCAGTCAACTTTCACTGGACCAAGCTTTCACATCATCCCTCCAGAGCAGGAGAGGCTGTTGGTTTGTAAGGGGCAGAAGAGCTGTGGGACTGGCAGAGATGAACTGAAAGAATCTGGAGGTAGCATCTTCCTCCCGATAACCAAGCCTGCTTCCTATGTTGAGGGCAGATGAATAGGGAGGAAGAAAGAGGAAGACCTTTTTATTCCTTTTGGGTTGAGTGCAAACATCCCCAAGCCTGGTAAGGGGCATAGAGATGTGCAGTTTGAGCCCTAGGACCTGCATGTCCCACAGCTCTGAAGCACAGTCAGGCTCTGATATCTGACAGCCTCAAGCTGGCTGTTTGTTGAGTAAGCAACTTGCATGGATTAGAGGGATGTGAGCAGCATCAAACAATTCACCCATCCCTCTCTGTACTGAGCTTTGTGTTGATGTGTCTGCATTCAATTGCACTGGTTAGCAAGTTGCCTCCTACTTTGGTTTCTCTGCAACTAGTCAAGCATACAACTGGAGAAACTGGGCAGATTATATGTAGATAATTTTATTCCCAGCTTTACTAGGTTAACACTTAGTGGAACAGGAAGCACAGTGCTACTGTTGGCTCAGACAGTCTGTTACATTAAAAAAAAAAAAAGAAAAAAAAAAAGAAAGAAGAAAACAAAAGACTATGCTGAGGCTGAGAACCAAGCCTTCAATGAATGACATTTCAAAGCTGATAAATAGCACTTTCTGTACAGAAAAAATACACATAATCCTTGCAATGGGCAAAAAATCCTTAGGCATGTTGAAGAATGGAAAAAATAAATTACATGCTTCAGTGTCTGAATATCAATAAGGAGGAAGAACACACAGAATTAATTTAGACATTGGAAGTTAAGTGTGTGAGGCCTGAGTCAGCCCTGCAGACTTAGAGCAGCATGCTTAACAGAAAGCAGATTCTGAAAGAAAATCTTTAGCATATGGGCAAACAGTCTCACTAGGTAAACACAAGTAATACCAGCAAAACCCAAGTATATTTTGGGAGAACATCAAAATGCAAAAGGACTGTTTGAATAACGGAGCCTTTGACACAACTCTGGGGCACACTCCACATAGCAAAAAAGCAGCAGCTGAGGAACAGACTTTTGCTTGCATTGTTAGAGCAGCTCAAGAATTTCTGCAGAGATGGACTTTTTGGCTTAACTAAAACAGTTCAGTTCCACCTTTGCAGGTTCATCTATCACTGATGCAGAAAGACCCAGAAAGACAATAAATCTGAGCTTTATTGTTTTACTTGTTTAGTTAAATATCTTTAAGAAAAAAAAAAAATACTTGGCTGAACTACCCCCATTCTCCTGAAGCTCCCAGTACTTTTCCACTGCTGCATGGCCAGGAGCTGGGAACAGCAAAAGCTGATCAGCTGCAGTCTTACTCGCCATGCAGTTCAGTGTTGCTAGGTATAGACTGCTTACTTAAACCCAAACAAATTAAAAAGCAGTGGTATAAATAAAGCATCAGAAAGGGGAGGGGAAAAAATAAAAGGTCTGCTGACAAGCTAGGCTCTGGGCTTGTTCTCTTTTTAAACAAATTTAAGTGACTTCACTTCAGTGAGTTGCTACCTGTTGGTTATATCGCTGTAAAAGTAGCAAAAGCAGACTTGGTCTCATGGAGAAGAGAGGAAGGTTAAGTGGATTCCCTTGTTCTGGCCTTTGGCTGTTTTACACAAGAATAAAACTGCATGTCCTCTGACACAACTGTGCTGTTTCCAGTTGCTGGTATATGGGACCATACAACAGTAGTGCTTCATTAACACATTTAAATAAATTAGAGAGACTGTTCAAAAAAACAAAGGAAAAAATAATTCAGGAGCAAGAGGAAGGAAGAGATCAGGAATCCCATGCAGCAGCAGAGTGGCAGATTGGCCAGCTGCACAAATCAGGTATTCCTTATGAGCAGTAATTTGCTGCTCCCAAGCCACTGCTCAGGGGACTGGCACCACTCTGACATTAAGTTCTGGTAGCAGAATATGGTGTCATCAGAGAAAGAGGAGGGAATTCACAAAGCCAACTCGGTGGCCTGGAAGCCACCACGTCTCTGCCATGGCAGGGATCAACAGGACACAATACTTAATTCTCTATCTTCACAAATAATTCCCCTTGGTTAAGATCAAATTGCAAGAAACCTTCAGTGGAAATCTTCCACTGGCACGTGAGGAAAAATACCCTTTTCTCAGAAGAATCTCCTCCCAACTTATGCTGTGATGCTCAGGAGACGAAACTTTCATGAACCCTTTGGCACAAGAGGTTTTGCCAACAGCAAGGTGCAGGTGCCTCCCTGCAAACAGCAAGGTACCCAGAGAAACATGCTGTAGCTCCTCTAAGAAGGAGCAATGTATGCAGACCCATCTTCCCAGTTAGCCACCAGTACTACCAAACTGCAAAATTCCTGGTTAGATGGGGAACCACACATCTTTTCCCATGTGGACTGTATCCCTGGGAAAGATGGTGAATCTACTGCACCACAAACTGGATGTCTGTGGATCCTGGTGAGTGTGATGCCAAAATAATGTACATTCAGCCTCACTCAGCCTGCAGGCTTGGTCCAAGCCCAGTGCTGCCTGCAGACACCACCTTGCTGAGAACAGGCTCCTCAGCAGCAGCACCGAAGGATCAGGGAGGTGGATTAGATGACACACGTGTGGTTTGATCAGCAAGGATCTAGGGACTGTGACATGAAAGGAGCATTAGGGGGATCATTTACCACAGGCAAAGATGTATAGAGATGCACTTTGAGGAAAACGAAGCTGTACATACCGGTCTGCCATGAATGCTTTCGTAATACAGCAAAGCTTTCTGAAGAGACACTTTTTCAGCTGCTATCTGATCCCTTGTCATGTCCTATGAGAAATGGCACAGAGAAAGAGAGGAAAAAAAAAAAAGAGTCAGATTCCTGGACTCAAACAATACTGATTTGTGGCCTAACCAAAGTCGTGTCATTTCGTCAGCAATGTTTTGAAGTCTCGTTTCTGTCTCCTAGTCCTCTTTTCCCAGCTGTATTGCCAAAGAGACTATTAAGATCAGTGGCACAATGCAGGCAGATTAAAACCATAAGAACTTTGCATATGAAGGCATTCTATGTACATAAGGGGGATTTGCTGATTATCAGTGTGCTCTGAAAAAATAATGGTATGTAACTTTTAATGACGGTGGCTCTTTTTCACTTAACCAAAGTGTAAATTCTACAACAAACACCTATTATTTCTTTTTCTCCAAATCTGAGACAAGCTCCAGTACCTCCTGCAAAGCCTGCCATCTTTGCTTGGACTGCCACAAAGACATTTTACCAAGAACTGAAGTGCAGTCAGACCACATCCTTCTGCCAGTTCTGTCACAGAGTGAAAAGATCTGGCAGACAGGCTGAGGGGACCAAGCCAAAAAAAAAAGGGCAGACAGTTGGAGAGGACTTCCTCAAGTTTGCCAGAGTTCCCCCACTGAACTTGCCTGACATTGAGTCTTCTTTTCCTACCACAGCACCAAATACTATCACAGGCCCTCTTTAAATGGACAGGCTATAGATTCTTGCTATCTTCAGAGAACAGCCAAATGCACACTGTGCTTATCTTCTTCTGCAGATCTAGTGAAGGAAGATAATGCTGTCTGCCTCTCTCTTACAAAGCATGGCACAATTCACATGTCAGCAGACTCAAGGACTTCTCTTACAAGGCTGTGCAAACCTCAGGAACGAGCAACATCAGACACAAGACCTCCCTGCTGATAACCCTCAGAGATTACAGCAGCTAACACAGCTCAATATGAAACACTGAAGAGCAGCAATAAAATGTCCTGAGAGAAGAGCATTCAGCTTTGGAGTGAACTAGAACAAAACAGATGACCTGATCTCCAGAATCACTGGAAGACTCAGAATTTGACAAAAGCTTTTGGACATATAAGAAAAAGCCAAATACAGGGCAGGGAAGATTGCAAGAATTCAGCAATGTTACTTGGAATATAGAAGGATCAGGAAAAGAACACACCGATGACATTCGATAGAAACTCAGATTTGTTGGGGGAGAAATAAACCACATACTAAAGGCAGAGGGAAAGAAACTGAAGTGGGTGAGCCAGGAGTAAAGGTTCTAGACTTTGTGACAGAACACAGAAGACCACAGTGCTTTCAAAAGTGACTGTGCAGCCACAGGTTAGCTACTTGTACTTAAAGGCCCAGTCTGATCAGTCTACATTGTACCTTAATATCTTCAGGTCGGTTTGTCTCTGACCGTTTTTCTTGAAGCTTCTTCTGGATAGAATCAAGGGTGGCTTCCACGGCAGGCTTGGCAGATTTGTCTGACAGGTCTTGCTTCTTGTCATCCTCCTTTTCAAGCTGAGAGCCGAAGCTCTTGGGGAGCGTGTTGCTCCGCTGACGCACAACGGGGCCAAGGTCTTCCTCTGATATTTTCAGTTTTGACTCTAAAGAGGAACATGTGGGGGAAGATGAATAATTTTTCTTTTTTAAAACATGACAGTGAGAGGATCACTGCTTAACATCCAATTTAAATGAGGCAGAATCCAGCTGCCCCCTGAAAGTGCACCAGAGGTGGCTGCTCACCTTTAAGTTGTTTTCGGAATTTGGCCAAGTCATTTGTCCATTTGAGCACTTCAGGGTTGGCCGCTTTGTCGCTGTGGGAAGGCTGGGAGGAAAGAACAGTTGTGCTGAAACAGTGTTAAACCAACTGGAGAGAGACACTGAAACACCACGTGTCACAGAAGGAGGTACAACAGAATTTGGACCCAGCATAGAGCATGGGTGCTGCTTCTGACTGGCACCTCCACACCTTGGACCAGCTCATTTCAGATCTTGCTTTCATTGTTCCTGCCTGTCACAACACTGTCTTCTAAGGGACATCATAAGATTGATTTTCTTTTTAGAAAATGCAACAGTTTTGTTGGCAAACATTAAGCTGTAGGAGTGGCTCAGAGGGCCAGATGCACATTGGAATACTTGTGCCTATTGTTTACTAACAAGAAGGCACCTCCAAATTGGAGGAAGTCTCGCGTGAGCAGCTTGGTAAGTGTTAGGACGCATGTATCCCCACCAAAGGCTGCCTGACATGCAAAGACACTAAAATAACACAAATGCTAGGCTATGGCAAGCTCTGAGCATTTCTTCCAGCCTTTTCTACTGCAGGCAAGATCCTTTCAGTACAATCCTTTGTGGTTTAGATCACCAACAAAGATGCAAGCATGCAGAGCTTTAGTTCCTTAAAAAGCTTTCTGTGCATCAGAAGGGCATGTCAGGAATGATTAGAGTACAGTACACTGCTCCTGCTCAGCAGCACTTGACTGTGGTTCCTTGCTCAGGAGTAAAGGCAGCTGCTCTCTCTCCCCTGCAATGCACTGGTGTCCTGGGATTACCATCATGCAAATGAGATGTGCAACTGTGCTTCCCATAAGCTGAACTTGAATAAATAAACAAACAGAAGTTTAACATGGCTGTTCCTACACAATGAGCATGTGCTTTTGGCACAGTGTTTTAAGCAGTGATCAAAATCCCCTGAGTTTCTCAGGCTATCTGTTGTGCTGCACATACTGCCTGGAAAGGCATCCATACTTGCTTGGTATGGATGCACATTCTCTTTTTTTGGGCAGCTGCTTTTTTTTTTTTTTCTTTCCCTCTTATAAAAGCTTTCAAGCCCTCTGTATGTTTGACAGACTTCCCCAATGTCCTTTTCCTTTGTTGCTAACACCTGTCTCTCCATAAAAATGTTTAACTCCAAGAGACTCACTCGGTATTTCCTCTCCTCTTCGAACTTGTCCTCAAATCTCCTGATCTTTTTCTTCAGTCCCTGAATCCTCCGGGTGAGTTGTGCAGGGGTAAGATCCTCTCTGTCATCTTCATAAGATCCCAGAGATGAACTCCGCCTCCTACCAAGAGCAGAGATTGCAGGAAGAGCTTACCCAAACAACCACAGTACGTCTTCATTCAGAGAAGGCCACTTCAACATTATGTAAATAAAGGCAAATCCTACAGAAGTGAGAAAGCTATGCTGCTACTCTGTAATGACAGGCAGCAAAAGATGATGTACACAGCCTCCTTCAGCAACGGCAGCTCCCTAGATAATAATTCACAAGCCCAGGAATGATTAGTTACCAAGAACTTTTCTAAAATTCCCAGTTTCCCACCAGGAGGAACAGAACCCCAGCACAGCGTAGCTATCTGGCACATGTGGTCTGAAAAGATGTTGGCTGACGCAGCTGTGCAAACCCTTTACAGCTGGGTGTGAGAGTCGGCCCAGGCAAAGCACAACTCACCTCATGAAGGAGTGGGAATTGGGAGGGGAAGGAGGCACTTCTGTATCATCCAGGTACTGCTGGCTGTGTCCGTAGGCGTAGAAGCGAGGGGACAGCATAGGATCGCTGTCCTCATCCAGAAGCTGCCGAATTAAGCGGCCTGCCTGCGGGGAAAGGCGAGCCTCATCTGAGTCTAAGCCGTCTCGCTGCCATGAGGAAAGAGCAGGGATGGGCTCTGGGAACAGTAAGACAAAGGCTGGTTTCATTGTTTTTGTTTTACACGTAGGACAGACTCCAGGCAACCTTCCTAATGAGCCCTGACCC